TAAGCGTGACAGGTAAATGTTTTGAATCAGTTTGGGGTATCCGGGCTGCTGTAACAGCAACTTAAGACAGTACCCAAAGAGGACTGCCAAAGCTACTTCAGAAAGTGGCGAGAATGACGGCATAGGTTTGTGGGGCTTACATTTTGAGGGAGAATAATGGTAACATCTTAGACTGTGATCTCATTCTTTTAAGGTCCTTATACTTTCCAACCACGCCTTTTATGTACTTGGTAATTTTTCAAAAATTACATTTTTTCTGGCCAAATCTGATCCTAAGTGCTTGCTTCCGTGAAATAGTCATCTCTTCCCGTGCTGTTTCCACAGCTTCCGTCTGGCAGCTTCCTACCCAAGTGCTGTGGTGACTTCAATGAGGGCTTAGATAAGAAGGCTGCAAGGGGCCAGGTAGGGTGGTGGGAGGAGGCTGAATATTAGACGCCCTGATCTTGGAGGACAGGGGCTACTTCCACTGCAGGAATTGTACCTGGGCATGCCTCTTTCCAGTGCCGTGCCATCGTCTCCAGTCCCTTGAACAGCCCAGATTCCTCTGTCTCTGTCCTCAGACTGGTTGTTTCACACTGGCCTGGCGAGTATGTTAACAAAGACATCCTTGTTTGATAAATGCTGGTTTCAGGTTGGCTTCTCTTCCTCCTTTTGTACATTTGTAGTTTTAAAAATGCAGTGGACTTGTAGAGCGTGTGTGTGTGTGTGTGTGTGTGTGTGTGTGTGTGTATAAGCTGATAACAGGGAGCACCAGGATTACTCCCTCATAGATGGGCTTTAACACCTTCCAAGATGATTTCCTATCCCTGCAGTGGACTCTCCTGGTGTGTAAAGAACAGAGATAGTCAGGGAGGAGGAGAGAATACATTGTTTCTTAACTGCTGAAATCTATGCATAGGAGAAGAAGCCTTTCAAGTACCAGAACTTTTGAAAAATAAACTCAGTGTAAGGATTAAAAGAGTATAGTCTCCTCTTCCAGTGGGACTGGGAAAATGTCCTTAGGAAGATGCTTTGTAGGTTTTCTGGGAGCTATTTCCACTTCATGTAGGTAGTGTAGTTATTTCAGGCATTCACAGTCACTGATTATAATATACTAGGGAAACATTGATGTGTCCTTATTTTAATATAATAATTTAATTGCCTGGAAATAAGACATTAAAGAATTCACTGATCCTACTTGCAAAAGCAACATATACAGTTGGTCCTTCATATCTCTGTGTTGTGCACCCATGCATTTAACCAACTGTGAATACAGTTTTGATAAAAATGGCATCTTTAAGAAACACATACAGCCTTTTGTCATTTGTGTCCATCAGGTTTCTGTCACTGTGATAATATACCTGTGATAATCAACTTTGAAAATTTCATTATGACTCATAATTTAGCGATTTCAATCCATGGTTGATTGGCTCTTGGCTTTTGGGTTTTTGGCAACGCAGTCTATTGTAGCAGAAGCCTGTGACAAAGGAATCTGTTTGCCTCAAAGTGGCAGGGAAGTACAAGATACAGAAAGGGGCTGGGGACACTAGCCCCTATCTCCTAAAAGTTCTACCATCTCTATTAGCAACACAGACTCAAGATCAAGCCTATAACACAAGGGTACTTTTCCTATTAAAACTAAAGCATATTAGTTCATGAACAATAGAATACAACACCATTGTGTGGGAGCCAGCACTGCAAGTGTGTATATGAAGCACTTTGCTTCTAAACTGTAACGTGGGCTGTTGTGAATGGTCAGCTCAAAGACTGCAGACAGAGCATAGCATGACCAGGAGGGGAGCAGTGGCTTTGCAGCCCCAGGATGTGGAAAGTATTTTTTGTTCAGTTTCCCAAGCTGTCCCCAGTACCCTACGCTCAGCTGTCCCCAATGCTATCAGCACAAGTGGAATATGTACTTTCCTTGAACTGTCTTTTGGGCTTCTTGTTCTCATTTAGTAAGAAACATCTTTGTTCTCATTATCTATGTAAGACAGTGTGCATTTTTAAGAAACAGTGTGGTGAATAACCCATTCTTGTGTGTTTATACCACGTCTTCCTTCATCAAAACAGGAATCTTTATTGGAGATCAGTCCCAATATTCATCGAGAAATTGCATCCCCAGTATTGATTGGGGAGCGCCGGTATTGGCTGGGGAATTACAACCATTTGTATTGTATTGTTACTAGCTATCCTATGCAATCTCAATATGATTTAAAGCCTACAGTGGTGTGTGCATAGGTTGTATGCAAATGCCACCCTTTTTCTATAAGGGATTTATCAGAGCATCTACAGATTGTGGTATCCAAGGAGGGACCTGGAACCAACCTGTTTCCTACACATATTAATTTTTAAGTGACTAAAAGTTTCTGGAAGTATAGGCTGATTCTTGTGACCTTGACAGCTGTTGAACATACTAAAATTGTATTTGATTGTTTACCTTTCTTCTGGTTTTATTTTCCCTTTTTTCCTATTTATCTATTTGTCATTATGCTTTTAATATAGTTTATGTTATAAGATAAATAGATAACATTTTCTTATTACTTATTCTCCCACTATATTTATATTTCTTCTAGGATTTCTCAAATCCTTTACCCACCATTATGTGAATTTTAGACACTTTAAGCTTTTAAACTTTTGACTGAGACAATTTCTCAAGAAGAGGAAAATGCAGTAGATATCTGAAATGAAAACACCTAAGAGATTACAAATTTATAACCTTTAGCTCTTTGGAATTCCATTTTAAAAGGATTACTAAAAGAGTACTCAGAAATTCATGTATTATTGTTTTTAAAATAAGCAATCATTATATACTTGAAACTTAGTGAAGGATAATTTAAAATAACACAGAAGGATTTCATTTGAGTCTGGTGCGTGATTTGTGTAGCCGGATGTCCCCAAACATCATCCAGCATTACCTGGCTGAACTCAAATAGCCTTAACTGATACCCTTGAGCATACATGCACATCTGCCTCCGGGAACGTTTACCCATCCTACTTAAACAAGAGCAACTCATCTGTGAGAGAACAGCAGGCAGGCCAGGCCTGCCATACTGACTAATCCAGTCCGTATCAAAGCGTTCTGACAAATGATGTGACACAGTCAAATCCCGACTTGAGAGTTTAAAATTGCGTGGAACCAGGAGGTTGCCTTATCACCTATATATCTGACTCTACGCATAGTTAGGTAAATATCCATCAAAATGTTAATGATGGCCCTTATTTCTCCCACTTTTAAAGATCTTACTGGGTTGTTTTACCACAAAGTCTAACTGTAATTGATGCTTAGAAAAAGCACAAGACACTTGCCCAAACATCACAAAAGACCTGTAAGCTAGAGAAGTTAGAATTTGAGCTCACATCTTGTGGCACTGCAACTGTTGTGCCTAACTACCACACACAGAACCTTGCTTTATTGTACTAAGACAAGTTACTATGAAAACAAAACCTCTTCTTCACATTTAGAGAGAAAGAAAAGGCTTGGGGATGGTATTTATGTTATTTGAAAATAATCTGGACTTTTCCAGCAGGTAAAAAGAAGACCAGACACATAGGACAATTTACTAACTTCTCAACCCAGCTCCCATTAACCTGATGTTCCGCTGGGTCTTCTTCCACCGTTGGCCATTTCCTCCTCTGCCTCTCTGCCTGCCAGTCTCTCCATGATGAAAGCAGGGAAGGTGTAATTACCTCAGGCATACTGTTAAACATATGCCAAGGGACCATTTGATTTCTTTGAGTAAACTTTTTGAGCTCTTTTTTGCATTTCTGCTCTTTGAATTTTCAATGAACTTCATTATTTAAATAACTATTTTGTTGGAATAAATGCAGAGCAACAAAAGGTATTTAATGAAGAATAATAACTATTTTAGGCTGAATTTTGCAATATCCTGTTTCTAAAAGTTTTCAACCATGTTATTTGACTTTATTCCTTCAAATATAAAGAATTCTGGAAGTCCTTTTTCATGAATGTCATTGGTTGCACTGTCATGGCTCCCTTGATGTGTGGAATCCATGGAAAATGTTTACCTTTCAGAGTCATCTGACTTTTGACAAGAGCCAGTATCAGATGCAGTGCATAAGAGAGATGAGGACATACCTTAATGTTGTTATGAGCTTGCCCTGGCCTTGGATAGCGCTCAGCAGCGACATGAATTACAGTTTTTTAAATATTTTTTTTAATCACATCTCATGAAGACACTCCTGAAAGGGAATTTCAGAAGCTGGTTTAGAAAGTGACAAGAACGATGGGATAAACATGTCCAAAGCAAGGGGGGGAGAGGTTGAGAGTCAATGGCAATGTGTTTTTACTGTATAAACTTTTTAAATTTAAGCATTCACTGTATATTTTGGTTGCACTGCATATAATTCAGTCTTCAAATTTCAGAAAGGAACTTATCTTTTGACAACATTTAAAAGTATATTATTCATGACAAATATTTATGTAAGTTTAAAATCTAGGAAAAAAAATAAGGATAACATATATAAATCCCCAACAAAATATTTTCACTATTTTCTTATTTTCTTTCAGTCTTGTTATTGTTGCACTTGAATTCTACATAAATTGTATCCACAACAAGTACAACACTTTATGTCCTGTTAAACATTTTACCAAAGTTTCTTATGTTACATAATTTTTGAATCATAATATATGTCTTCATAACAATTTGTTGAGTATTTGAATAATTTTTAAAATTTTTATCATCTATTCATTGTTGAATTAAAAATTTTTTGATATTAATATTGATCTTACATGTACAAACATCTTTAGGTCAGCCTCACATTATTTCTCAGATAGCTTCCCGAACAAAAACTGGGTGCCTTTGATAGCGTTAGTAATCCATGCCATTACAGTGTTTTCTCAAAGACATTGTTTAGCTGGAATGTGATCCACAACGTCAAGGAGTGCCATTTTTGCAGCATTTCTGCCAATATTACATATATAAATTTTTTCAAAACATGTTTGAAAAACAGAAAATGGTACCTCATCATGTTCTATTTGTGCTTCCCAATTTACTTACTAGAATGAAGAAGGATCCTCCCAGGAAGGAATTCTGGAAGATATGCCAGTGGACCCTGACAATGAGGCCTATGAAATGCCTTCTGAGGTAAATTTATACACATAAAATAAATAAATAAAGTTTAGGAGTAGAAGTTGGGTCTTCCTGAAAGCAATATCAAAATCCTGTCATGATCAGATTTCCGTTCTGTTAGAGTTTGTATGAGTCACTCAGGACGTTTTCTGAAAGAGAATAAAAGCAATTATTGAAGTCGTAGGTGAAGATGAAATTTCCAGTTGGGAAAGTAAAAGTGTCTTAATTTTCTTCTGTCAGTTAGAGGGTCTGAGCCATGAAAGCAGTTCATGAGCCATTTGACTTAGGTCTCCAGGTCTCTGAAAGCCAGAGAGGTGCATCTGATGTGCTTTCACAGGACTACGTCATGGGATTGCCCAACAGTAATCTAGAAGTAGAAGCCAGATACTCTGATGACGAACATAATTTCATTTTCTATGTAACAAACCATAAAGTTAGAATGATACAGCAGAGTTAGTCATTCCGGAACTCTCGAAGTGCTGAGCCATGTCCCATATCATTTGCTCCAAATCCTTGATCAGTGAACACATCCGTTAACGAGTACTGAATCTTTTTGTTTTTCCTCATGGTAGGAAGGCTATCAAGACTATGAACCAGAAGCCTAGGAAATACCTTTGCTCCCAGTCTCTTGAAATCTGCTGACAAATGTTCCATTCCTGTGCAAGTGCTCAGTCCCGGTGCGCAGTCCTGACGTTTGCCCTGAGTTTTTACAGTGTATTTCCAAGTCTTCCATCGGCAACAATTGAAGTCTCCATCCCTGCCCCTCAGCCCTGCGGTGCACCCTCACTTCAGTGAAGGTGTGGTGGCAGGCTCCTTGTGTGCTGTGGATATTGTGGCTTCAAATCTAAAATGTTAAAACAGATTAAAAACACCTAAGTGACTACCACTTATTTCTAAATCTCTACTATTTTTCTGTTGCTGTTGTGATTTCTTCTCATATAGTATAAAATTTTAGGTGTCTTTAATGATTCTAAGAATAATGATATATTGTGAAAATTAAAATATATAATATATCAAAATATGTGCGCATGAATCTATGCACCTATAAATATTAACTGAAATTTCACTGTTTTGTGATGTGTTTTATTAACTAGTGTTTGTATATAAATGGTGAAAATTAAAATGTTATCTCATTATAAAATATGTTGTCTCGCATTTCATTTTAATAATAAAATTATACTTATAAGCGATGTGGACCACAAACTGACACAACAAATTTAAAGTTCTAAGTAGCCATTTGAAGAAGAAGGAATATGAGAGATTTTAGTGAAATTGGAATATAGGCCTTAAACTGAGGTTTCCCTGAAGAGACCTTCCCCAAAGTCTGTTCTAATCTGCAGTGTTGTCTTCAGAGGCTTGCCGAAAAGGTGGTTCCATGCAACAGCAGGTGAGAAATGATTTAGACCACATCTTCTTTAGATATTCATTAGATATTAGCATGTTAGAGGTTCTTCAGAATACCCCCTTTTTAAAAAATAATCAGAAATACTCTCTTCCCCAACCCCCAAAAATGCTTTTGAACATCTCTTGAGCTTAGTAGGTATCATGCACTGGATTAGATCTCCAGTACAAAAAGGGAACAAAACAACAGAAAAACAACAAAACAACCAAAAAGACAAAAAACAACTACAAAAAACACCAGCAAAGCAAAAACATTCTGGGAAATACCAGTGTTCTGAGGGGCTGGGGATTTAGCTCAGTGGCATAAGCGCCTGCCTTGCAAGCAGGCAGTCGTGAGTTCGATCCCTGGTACCGATAAAAACGAAAAAAAAAAAAAAAAAAGTTAATTCTGTAGGTTTATGAAGAATCTCATGGATTTCTTTAAATTCTGCTAATATATTAATCCTGGTATACTCCATTACAGAAAGTTTTTCACATGAGGGAAAACCTATTAAATTCCCAGGAAATCACGTACACATGGCTATGAAATACAATAAGTTAATTGAGAAAGCTGTTTAAAATGCTTAATCATTCAGAAGAAAAATTATGTCACTTTTACAAGTCACTTGTAGAAAATACAATTTCAAGAAGTAATATTCTAAACGTGCTACTCATTTACATGTATTTGTGAGTGCTTTGTTGTGTAATGGGCACTGACAGGGAAGGTGGGGTGAGAGGCTGTGAGGACACTCACCTCAGAAGGTATCTTTTGTACGTGATTGGAAAGGAATATGCTGGCGTGTTCAGCCACCTGTGTTGACTCATACCAAGAACTGAAAAGCACATTTAAATTGTGCTTAGACAAGTGAAGTATTCATTATTAACAGTATAGGTAAGACAAGGCACCTTGGAAAATGATGGCTAGATATACTTTAAATCTGTCTAAAGTACAGTACCTTTAAAAAAAATAACAAGAGTTGGTATTAAATAATGAACAGCAAACAAAAGTAGACTGACAGCAGTGACTGAGAGCAGTGTGAGATTACCAAAGAAGTGAGTTTGAACTTCAGTGTTTATGTTGGTTAAAATTCTACTCAGGTGTTTCTTCTCTGAACATGTTCTGAAAGTTACTTGTGAGCAGTGAATTATTCTGACTTAATAGTTTTAATTTCTACTGAGCCCTTATAAGACTATTCCGTAAGTCACACAAGTCATTTCACGAGGGTTGTCTCCTGAGACCTCCACATTACAAGTAGCCTGAGGCTCACCTAGTCCTAACTTTGTTTTGCAGATGTGTATTACCCATGTCTGAGCAATTCAATCTTCTATGACCCCATGGGGCCTTTAGCAGAACCATTTCAGGAGGGCTTTGGCTCACAGTGGCAGAAGAGCAATCTACTGGGTGGTTTTACCTTTTTCAAAGTATCTCCATCCATGTGAGAAGCAAATATGTTTCCTCATCTTTATGGGTCATTTGGTAAGTTGCTTATTGCAAAATTTATATTTGTATGTTTCTGTCACATTTCTGGCACAGAGTACCTAAAACTCATAATTTAGCTGGCCTATAACCCTGGCTTCTGTAACCCAGTTTCTGACGCAGAGTTCTAAATGCCTTGGGATTTCCTGTATGAGAGGAATGTATTTTGTTCTAATGAAATACCTCTTGGTGGTCTTCTGGATGGGAACTGATGCGAAGCAGAAAAAGGAAAGTATTTTCCTCATCCATTGCAAGCTGGTGGATGACATCCCTATCATGAAGACAGATTAACAAGCCCAAAATGCAACAAATTTATTTAACCGAAGTTTGATATGAGGCAAGATCCAAAGATCCAGGGATATATTTTTGTATACTTAGCATTTGATGAAAATATACATTAGTGTGGAAGTATGATTGGACCAAAGGGGGATATGAATTAACTGAAGCAGCCTGGAGGCAGGAGAGGAGGACGTGTCAAGACCTATCTGTTCAGTCTTCTTGGCCTCCCTGTGTAACAGTCTTGGTTTCCGGGTATGAGGCGAGACACCTGTCACTTGAGGAGGAGGAGGTCAGAGAGACTGATCCTTCTGCTTCTGAGGTTTTCCCAGTTTCCTTCAAATACAACATACATTGTATTTCTAAGTGCTGTGTTTTGAATTATTGCGTTTTCCGAGTCCCAAAATTGCTCAGCAAAAAGACCAAACCATGGTTACAAGTTTGGAACTTTCAGCCCCTTCTCCTGGTTTTCTAGAGTGAGTAAAGGAGCCACAGCTGAATTCATAACCTTTGATGCTTTCGTGATGAAGCCTCAATCAAAGGATTCTCAGTCATTATCTTCAGAGAATGGTATTATGAGTCATTGCAAAACACACATGCATGTGCGCACACACACATCCTCCTGGTGGCAGAAGTAAAGGGACTGGAACTTCTAACTTGTAAAAATGTAGATGGAAAAATAAATTTTCCTTTTTGCTATTGGATTAAATGCGCATGTATATATCCAAGTCTCAAAGATAGCATTTCTCATAGACAGTGCTATCTAAATCCATTCTGAGGAGGGAAATTTTATTTAAGTGCAAACTTCACATTCTTCCTCTGTCCACCACACTGGTAGCGTTCAGTGTTTATCTCAGTTGAGTTGATTTCAATCTGCTCTTCCTATCTCAAACAGAGAAGGCATACAACAGGTCCAGCTACTCTTGGATATATATATATTTTGAAAATATATTTGTTATCAAAATAGGATTTATCAATACTAACTCATTTGGTTCCCATGACAACTCTAAGAGGCCAATAATTATTCTCATTTTATACAGGAGCAAGCATAGGCTAAGGAACTTCTTCAGTGCCATCCAGCTAGTAAATGGCAGAGCCAGAAATTCCATCCATATAGCACCATGTCATCATCTAGTGTAAGAGAACCTTCCAGAAGTCTAAAGAGTGAAGTAGTAGCTTCACTTTTCTAGATATAATTATCAGCATGTATCTACTTGTCTTATGAAGTGTATATGTATTATAAGTAAATTTTATGTATCTGAAGATGTAATCTAATTCTAGGAGAAATTAGCTCCTGATAGATGCTTCATTGTAATTAAGTTGTGTTTATACCACTGATAGAACTAAGTTATTCTCAGTACAGAATAATAATATCCATATAATAGCAGCACTCTATATATCTATGTAGAGCAGCACTCTATAGTCTGACAGTCTTTGTCATTTTTCTTGTTGACCTGTAGTACTTGGCTTCAAGCAAATAGCCAAAGAAAATATAAATTAAGATAAAACTAGGGTTTTTAATTATACATACTTAGTAATAGGATGACTGACTTTATAAATAGATAGCAAAGATGGACTTAAGACTTTGTATTTATAAATAATGTTAGCACCTTAATGTTTTATAATAGGCACTCATTTTCTGGGCATATTTTTGATATATAATATATAGTTTATCCTTTGAGTAAGCCTTGGCTAGAATTCCAAATACAATGCAATAGCTAAAATATTAAAACTATTTCTAAGTATGATTTTACTTCTTATATTTCTCATATGACTAAGATTTCTTTCACTATTTGCTAACTAATACATGATTTTTAATTATTTTAAATCCTATTTGAGGTAGTTAAACATTTACCTTCCAAAAGCTCTGGAGTCTCTAGTAAGTTTTTCTAGTATAATTTAGTCCTAAATTCAGTTAGAGTTACATAGGCAATTTTCAAGTGTTGAGCTTGCAACTATAGATTAATATACTGGGTTGAGCCTTAGGAAAATATATCCTCAGATTCCCTTAAAGGTCAGTGACCAGAAGGTCCCATGGTTTCTATGGCAACACAGCAAGATACAGTGCCTTGGAAATGTGCTGCATTTTAATTAGGTTCCTTCAGGGCTTCCTAACTGCCTTTTGCAGGTAAACTAAATACCAAGTTGCTTTATATCTTGCAGTAAGATGAAGGCTAACCCATGCTGTAAATGTCAAAGCTAAGCTGGTCTCCAGTAAAGTTAGATCTAAACTAACGTAGTAGCGAGGCCATGTGTTTATCCTACAAAACAACACAAGACTCCACCTGGAATAGTCAGTGATGTTTCCTTAATGTGGCAGGAGTAGCAGAGAAGAGCTTGGAGTTTAACACTAAGCTATGCAGGACTGATTCCCAGTTTTGTCACAACCTGCGCTACTCTGAGTATGTTACCTATTCTCTAGGTCTCAAAGTTTCCTTCCCGGTAAAACTGTGTGTTATAATAAAATGTTTCGTAGCTTTATTAAGCAAAATAAATTAGCATACATAGGGAGCTTAGGACAATGGATGGCAATAAGTGAGGACTCATTGATGGTATTAGTGGTGGTACCAATAATAGTAGGGTATGCTATATTTTTAAAGGTAAGTGACAAATAACACTTTAAAATGTTCAGATACATTCATTTATGTCTTATTTTAATGTAAGAGTAATCAAGATGGAGATGATGGTAGAGACAATTTAGAGACTTAAGGCAGAGATTATTCAACAATAGCTATAAGAACAGTTTTAATCCTTTAATACCAATACTTATAGATTTCAGTATAGTTCGCAGAATATCACCAAGCCAAAACTTACTGAGAGATGAAATCCACTAGGTCCATAAGCACCATTTATAAAACACATCTCTCCTTGGACTTAGCTGTCCTGACGAGGTATGACAAGGTGAACTTGCCCTTCACCCCTGAATCCTTTGTGTACAGTCTAAGGAACTAAGTGTAGCACACAATTTTTGTTCAGTGTTTCCTAACAAAAGTTAATTCTTTGGTAAA